ACTATACCGCACGGATGAAATTGCGGGCAAAAACTATTGATATATCAAAATATCGATATTTTTTCTGTAAAATATCGAAATAAATGATTGATATTTTTTACCGCGATATATCGGTTTTCGATATTTATTTTCAGATATCAAATTCGAATCATAATCGATATATTTTTTAAAGTTCTGCTGTCTGCTCAAACGTCTCATCATGTATTTCTTAAATTTAAAAAAGAAGTAGGCAGTAGGCTTTATTACTTTAGAAATTACAATCTATATTCTGCTTGTCTTTTTTGTTTCTTTATGACAATGATACTGCTTGTTGGTTTGGTTGGTATCACTGAGAGTGCTCCTGATATTAATATCAGTGGAGGTGGTTTTTTAGTGCTTTCGTTTTTTTTTAAATACTTCCTCATTGATAATTCAAATGATGAAATATTTAAAAATCATTAGTTTCCGGTTTTATTTCATGTTTAAAAATAAATTAGTTTTCAAAACTTAATAAACAGCTCATATTCTATTTGTTCTTTTTCGTATTCGTATTGATATCGAAGTTTGGAACTTTTCAAATTTCAGTTTTTTAATATGTTAGTTAAAAGGAACAGAAATGACTGTATTTGGTCCATTCGTTTCCTGCAAAAATCAACTTTTGTTAGAGTCGCCATCTAGTGGAGGTGCTTTTTAGTGCTTTCGTTTTTTTTTAAATACTTCCTCATTGTAATCGATAACTCAGAATACTTCAATAACGTCCCTATTTACGGTTAAATAACAAGTGTCAAAGAACAATGGCCACTGCCCATACAATTGAAAACCTGTCAAAGATTTGGCATGAATAAATTATCTCGATAGCAAAATGTGTTCGTTATTTATAACTGTTAAATGTCTTAAAGTTAGATTTTTATATAGAGGTCAGGGAAATTAGAAATTACCACTTGAACATTTGAGGTTAGAAATATTATCTGTGTCTCTGTCAAATAACTTCATGTGAAGAAATATCTGGAGAATCAATTATTAAATAAAGAAGTTGAGTATGAAAGGGCCAAAAGAATATATTTACCTGCATCTTTGCTCGAAATAATAGTATTTCGAGCAAAAATGCAGGTAGAATAATCTTATGTCTATGGAGCTAAAACGTTTGAGACTAAAAATACCATAGATTTCTATAAATCGATGAAGAAATACGTATCGTATTATGTGTAAGTATTTAAAGATATAACATGAATTTAAATAAAACACTTTTATTTGGTACTTATTTGTTTATTAATGTTCGAGACTAAAATACTTATTGTTTTTAAATAGGTATCTAAAGATGTAACATGATTTTTAAATAAAACACTTTTATTTGGTATGTGATTTATTAATTAAGTATCATGATCGCTTAAACTTACAGCTACATCATCTAAAAATTGGGCTGGTGCCAATATATCTGTTTGATGTCTAGCCCATCCAAGGTACCAAACTAAGGTCATCACATGGGCGCAACAACCAATTGTTCGTCGTCCCACTAAACAATTGCAATAATATTCTGGGATACCCTCCCTGCCAGGCACATTATTTTCTATTAATATATACACAAAATAGATTTTTCGTGAAATGTGCCTGGACTTAATTCTTCCCCTTATCAAAGTGATATCTGCGCTACCCCTTAAATTAAAGTCTGAAAAATCTCCATTTTCTGTGCTAACTTCTATTACGTAATTTCCATGTAAACGTACATGCTCCCCGTAATAGGATCGGGCTTGCCTTATTTGGTATGTACCCAAAGCAAATAAAATTAATTGATTGTATTCCATCCTCGGGAATGGTGTATTGTCTCTGTTAGCTGTAATGCTTCTAAACCCTGACGTGCGTCTATTCATATTATTAGTTGTAATCATTACACACAAATTATTTTCTAAGTGTAATCTTTGTCTAATAACTTCCAGAATTTCTCCAGCATCATCCCTATTCTTTAGGCGAACACCAAATCTATTTAATAAACTAGCAGCGAGCTGGAACATCTGCATCATGTTAGGCAAACTTTTATTGAAATAATCTTGCCGTAACAATTTAAAATCTCTTTTGAGGTGGCCATTGACCACCTCAACAACCCAACGACAAAGAGTTATACAACGACTTCTATTGGCTTGTTGGGTTGTTAATTGGTGTTCTCCTTCTAATAAAGAATCAGGCATGTACGGTCTATAATTACAGCTTTGTAACAAAGGTATCGAATCCCGAAAGCCCCGATCTAATATAAAAACATCATTTTCTTGAAAATACAGTCGCAATGGAGAGTTTTCATTACAGAATAAATCAATCATGATATCAGCATCAGATGTGGTAGCCTTGTATGGACCAAAACAATCTACAATGTAACCATCGCATGTCACAAGTAGAAAAGGTTTCAATAAATTCTTATATTTATGTAGTGAATATGAGTCTTTTTGAAACTTATAATTCGAACTTTTATTAAGGTAAATATATGTGCCGTCACATATTATAATTGCATTGCTGTTATTTTCATTATACAGCCCATTCGGTATTAATAAATTATGAGATAACAATGATTGTCTGTCAATGTTATTAATCCCCAGGTTATTTGTTACAAAATCTTGTAAAAGAATTTCACGTACATTATTCATAAGTCTCTCTAGAGTCCGACGTGGAACATTTAAAAGAGTGGACAAACGCTCATCTGACTCTCCAGTTCTTAATTTAATAATTAATGAGGCCAACCCTAGGATACCCCTATGTACCTCTTGAAGACGTGGAACTTCATTTATTAATGCTATAAAATCTTCTTTGGATCTTCCAGTCCAGTAAAAGAACAAATTATCTTCCATTTCTTGAATATTTTCAATACTGTCGAAATTGAAAAAGGGCTTGAATGCGTTTATAAAAGAAAATATGTGTTCCACTTGCTCCATTGTGAATGTCCTGATGCTCCTGTCAGAATTATATAAAGTCTCCCATAAGTTACTGTGCAGGTGCTCTCCACAAATACGGGCATGTTGTGGTATATAATAATTATGCAAGCTAAGTATTGTAGCTCTCAGAGAGTCTGTCATGTTGTGCAAACTGTCATTAGTGCACCTTGGAAATAAGCAATGGGATGCCGTATTTGATGCTCTACGATAATTCCGTAATGTTATGACATTAGTTGTTTCCTCATCATCTTCAACACTTATATTAACAGGTTCCAATTCACTTTGAGGAGTTTCAATTATTTCTTCTCGTGAGCGTGACTCATCAATTTGTTGCTGTCGTACAGCTGACCGTCTAGTACTCATCCAACATGGATGGCATATCTGATCTGATGACATAATCTATTGAAGAAAAGCATCAAGTTAATCAAAGTATCATCAGCTCAGGTTTTTAATAAATCTATTTCCATTATATATTTATAATCCTTAATAAATATGTAATGGAAATAGGTATAGGATAAATAAATAATACCAGCTTAAGGTTTGCCATGAAGTGCATGTACGTTGGCTAACAAATGACAAGTGAATCCCCACTATGACTAAAAAATAAACACCTAACAAAAAATATATATGCAAGTAAAAATTAAATATGAATACCTGACGTGGTTCAATTCTTGATTCTATAATTGTTCTTATTACACCATCCAAAGGTGATGGATTAGCGTTTAAAATAAGATGGCTCTGTCGATTGGTTAATGAGCAACCACATAGTACGCATACTAGCGTATGTCCTGTTTGACGAGATGTAGACACACTGTGTCCATCACCATGTACAGAGGCCAAGATTTGATTAACCGTCCTCATTGCAATATCATAGCATGCTTCACAAATTACATCTTCATCAGTAACCTAAAAAACAACAATAATTAACACTGCCATCATAAACATAAATAACAAAAGTACTTATGATAAATAATAATACAAATGATTATCTCTGTAGTATGTTTTTTAACTCAGTTCTATTTTTTAATTATCTACTAATGTATGTATAAATAATGAGTCACAGAAGAGTCAAGATATAACTGACCGATAATAACTGACGTATGTAAGAAGTATGAAAATCAATTACAACACAGTTCTATTTCTTTTTTTTTTATTTTATGATATGTTTGAGTTTACACAATTCTGGTTAACTGACCAAAAATAGGTGTACTTACGAGCAATGGGGAGAGCCATTCGCTAAGTAGAGAAATGACTCTCGTGTTAAGCTCGAACACAACGAAACGTCGAAGTGAATTCACACAAATCCTGCAGTTTACGCACAGAATGCGCCCTCTCGTTCGTGAACGCATCATGAAATCCAAACTGCAAGCGTAATCAGTGTCCAATAATCGTAAGCCAAGTTGAGTCAGTTATAGAAGATATAGGTGTCCGGAAATCACAGCAAAAAGTCGTTATTATTGGAAGATATCAGAGTCCAGGGGAAAGCGTAGGTCACAAAAGAAAAACAAAATCGAAAACGCACTGAACACAGCCAAAGCACAACGAACAAAACAACCACTGACAATGACAACTGCGAATGAGAGATTTGCTGACAGATTACCGATACGTTCCGTTTTACGATAACTGTCTAGGTTACATATTCGTTAAATCAAATTCAAAATGATGAATTAGTATATTCAAATATAATAATTAAACATTAACCAATAATTCAATAGCTGTTTATAATTAAAAAAACAATACATTTATAAATAGATATCATTGAAGTAAAATTAATACATACATAAAGCATGAATCGTGCATGGATCGGAACTCTTTGAAAACAAAGATACGTTCAAAAACCATAAACTATTTTTAGCAGTAGTAAAAGAAAAATTAAAAAAACAATTATTGTACTTTTTCCTGGCCATTTGTCGAAATATAAGTTGATTCATTTAATTTATTGAATTTTGAACTATTTTTGTGGATAAGGTTTGTTTCTATTCATTCTCTAAAATATTAGGTCAATTTTGGCCATTGTTCTTTAAAATATGACGTGGCTGTATGGATGAAAGTCTTTTGCCTTCTTCGAAAAGGTGAAAAGAATAAATAAAAAAATTAATCCATAGATTACATCGCGATTTTGTAAATATTTTTTTTTGTTTGTAAACAAACAAAAATTGTGTGTAATGTGATCTTGCTTTTCCTCTTTATGTACAGGATTTTAATAAAATTATAGATTTTTTAAAGGTTTTATTAATCGTAGTTATTTAAAAATCAATTGTAAAGAAATATCGATTGACAGAAAGAGTATGCAAGATAATATTCTGATAAGATAAATGTATAACAGTGACGAAGCCTACCGGTGTGTTATATAAATCACATTGTTGAATCAATTTTATTATAATATATAATTACTTTAATATACCAGCTAACGTCGATGAAAAGAATATACGTCCTCGGTAAGTGTTAAAATACACAGATACTTACATGGAATAATTTAACCTTGAGATTACTTTAAAAAATGTTTGCGGGTATTGTGAATCATCATTCGATTGTTTATCGTGGTGGGGCGAAATAGGCCGGTGCGACGGCGCGGTGTTTTTGTAATGATGTCATCGCTTTAATGTAGGAGCAAAAATTTAGTTTTGCTGCCTCTTGCAGTACAGTCATTTGTGTTGTCTCTCTTACAGAACAATATTAATTAGGCTTTACTATAGGAACTTTTATCGGTTTCAGTCCCCTTAATTTTAGTACTTCAATCCAACAAATACAAGGCAGACATGGATGCTAAGGCACTACCTTCAGCTATTGCAAGATTCTCTGCAAAATTTGTAAATGTAAGTAATTTTGAAATACATATTACTAATTCAAAGTCCAATACTTGATATTAATTGATTAATGATATCTTATCTGTAAAGATAATTTGTATCTTACATTATATTTTTGAATAATATGTTTGTTATTACAAAGTCAGAGTGATTTGAGTTGGTTTGAGTTTATTAAAAAATATCTTGTATCTCAAAACTATTGATAATACCCTCCTTTTAAGTTAGCCTCTATATATTGACATTATTATTTATGGGTCAATAAATTATAAATTTATAAAAGTGTATTTTAAAGTTGACATTCCTTGATTTACATTTATAGCCAAGATCTCTACCGTACCTGTAACATACTATAATGAATCTTATAAAAACTATTAAATGACCTTTAGCATTTATTGTTCTGAGTAGCTCGGTGGCGTAGTGGATAAGCGCCACAGCACGCGATCGTTGTCGTTAAGCAACTTTCGCAAGTTTCGGTCACAGGATGGGTGACCAAAACATTTTTATCTCGAGCTACTCCGTGCTTCGGAAGGCACGTTAAACGGTTGGTCCCGGCTGCATTTGTAGTCGTTAATACCCGCCAATCCGCATTGGGCCAGCGTGGAGGGTCATGGCCCATGCTCCTTAATCATCCATAAGGAAGGCCTGAGCCCCTGCAGTGGGCTGATGATGATGATGATGATTTATTTTTCAAATATTTTAGAATGATGTAAGTTGTCTTTAAAATAAACCAAATAAAATAAAAATAAGAAAAACAAATCTAATAATGAAATTATACAATTAAAATTTGAACCTAATCTCTGTCCACTAAGAGTTATTTATTCCTTTAAGTGAATATTTAATTTAATATAGTATAAATTTTATTATCCTACTATAAGAAATAAGGATTCATGATTATCCAGATTACTGGTGTGCAGAACCAGTATGTTTATATGTAATCTAAAAAAATATGTCATCTATGTTAGAAAATGTATCTTTCAATAGATAATGACTTTTGTTGTTTTGTATTCATTGTTTTTAATTAACACAACATTATTTACTACATATGTACAAAGCCTACTTGGCTTTATAATTTGATTATATGGATTTTAAAATAGTCTGCTTAATTGAGTTTCTATTGCATATGAAATTATAAGTTTTTATTTAAGTTCTTTTTTTAGGAACTTGACAAAAGCAAGAGTGTAGTTTCATCCCCATTATCGGCTGAGTTTGTCTTAGCCTTACTCACTCTGGGCACTACTGATGAGGCACACAATGAATTACTAACTTCTCTTGGTATTCCTGACGATGATTCGGTATGTTATTTGTAATATCAGTGGGCTATATTGATAAAATTTACTGTTGCAACATACTTTACATACTGTGTTAATGGATTGGTTGCTATCTGCATGTTAAAATGTAAGAATGTAAAGTAATTAGTGATAATGACAGTGACAGATATAGACAGCATTATTACACAGTGATTTAATGCCTCTGCAACTTTGTCCAATTCAGCCTTGAGGCAAGCTTTTGTTTCTGTTTCAATATGCTCATAATCATTTCAAACTGTTCCCTCTGGAGAACAAAATCGTGTATCCGCCGCCAGCTCACGTTGAATGAAGCAAATTTGCGGTAGACGAGAGACTTATTTCGCCTACCGCCTACGTAAAATTTATCGCTCATATTTGGGGGTGGCATATCATAATCTGTTGTGTTATAATTGTTTGAAAGTGTCCACGGTATTCAAAAGTACAACATTTTTAGATTAGAAACAGTACATTAGGAATTTCTTTTTTCATTTGCTAAATTAACTTCTCTAATCGGTGTACCTATTTTACCGTTTTTTAGTTCCTAGGGCGCCAAGTTTAATTAAGACGGCACTGGGTTAGACGCTTGGTCTGCTAAATGGCGCGCTACTTTAATCATCAGCTGGATCCATAACAAACGATCAGCGCTACAAGCACTCGTTCTGTTTGAGAAAATACCTCCTCTGATTTCCAGGAAATAGCATTTCTGTGTCAATTAAAAAATGAATTGTTAAATATAAATATTATCAGTAAACTCTTTTTACTGTTGTACATTAGGCTAGGAATGCCTCAGAAATAAAAGATCGAAGTTGAAAGATGTCAATGATATGGTTATAGAATAAAAAATTCACTACGATCAGTATGTACCCATCTCGTGGTAACTGGGACTGGTGGGCTTTTTAAGTATTTTTCATTAAGAATACATAATATCATTTCCAGGACACTGTTTTTCATTACTTATATTCAATTTTCATTACCATCAAACTATAAACCAGTTTAAGTTTCAGGCCTGTAATTTTTAAACTTATGAAAATTTATTAATTTACAATATTATAGATGTTCATTCGAAATGTATAAGAAATTTCAGTTTTTAAAATATCCTCTTGTTTTGCCTTATTTTCACCGAAATTAGTGAAGTACCCATGAAAGTTTTAAAGTGTGATCGTTTAGTGTGGATCCGGTTATTCTTATTGATAATTAACCTTATAGTGAGCCATATAGTTGTATTTTACTTACCACTGTGTACCTACAACATAAAAAATTAAACAATATAATCAGCACGCGTCAAAATATTTATATTTTAGCCGTATTTATATTAGTCTGCATTATCACAACATTTTTTTCTCGTTTTCCTTGTGTTATTGTTGTATTTTATGTGCTGCGATAAAGCACGAAAGTGTATTGTGATGTAAAATAACTGTACTTTCAACAGATTCGCTCGTCGTTTTCGTCTATATCATCTAAATTTAGATCGATCAAGGGCGTAACCTTGAATGTTGCCAACAAAGTGTATGTGATGGATGGCGGGTACGATCTGCAACCGCAGCTGAAGGAGGACGCGGTTAAGGTGTTTGATGCTGCATTCGAGAAAGTCGACTTTAGTGATTCAGGTCACGCGGCTAGTCTCATCAATGCTTGGGTAAGGATGGAATAACAACTGTCACCATCAATAAGGATTATCTCTATTTGAAATATATAAGATTTGGGAAGTTTCGATTATCTCGGAGAATCGAGACGTATCATAAGCAGTCCAATAAAATACAGTCTTGAAGACTTATAATAGGGAATTTTACGCAAAGCTCAGTACAGCTGACAGCATAAGCACATTACTAAACAAACCTGATGCGCAATGTCATATGTGCTGCCAATCAAATTTTATCACTTTACAAATTATGATAGTAACAAAAACTTGTGCTATATTAGTATGGCACCCTAAATCAAGTAAAACTAAGAAAAGATTACTATATTTCAGAGTCAAATTTTTTAGTTTTCTTATGTGATAAAAGTTTAATTTGTAACTTTACAATGCTAAATTTACTTAAGAAGATTTACGTCACAATAGGGATGATGACTAATTTTTGTTTGTTTGTCCGTCAGGTAGTGTTAAAAAATATTAAACACGTATTTTTAAATTTTTTTCGTAATCATAAAATTGCGGCGTTACATTGAGTTGAAATTTCGCATGACGTCACGTTAGAGTACGTTTTCTACTCAACTGTGACGTAGCGAGCCCCCACTCCTCAACTTTAATGCCTGTTATCTAAGCTTTTTCTTATTAAATTGAAGTAATATTTTTCTATTATCTGACTGACGGACTAAATAGAATTGCATTTTTTTTTTACCCAGTCATCATCCCTATTAGGATATTATAAAGGGTGAATACTCACACAGTGTAATAAACAAGGTTTAGCGTTGGAGTAAATTTACGCTGAGACTGCACTTAGTATTAGTCAAAATTCATATTATTAAACAGAGACTTAGTAAAGGAACACCTAGTTCAAGGTGCTACGGGAGTAATATTTACTCCTAGAAGTAGTAGGTTTGCTTATTCTCTGTATAATATGGATTTGGACTAATAATAAACTTGCCATTTTAGCGTTAATTTACTCTGACGCTAAACTTTGTTTATTAATAGCACTAGTAGGGTATATTGAACATATTTTAGAGTGTTTTTACTAGATTGCTGTAAAGACAAAGCGTTGTCGCTTTCTATAGTTTTAGAACTTTATGCCTTTTAGAAATGAATCCCTTCATTCTAACATGCCCCGCACTGGGTACTTAGTGGTATACATTACTTAGAAATATAAACTTTACAAAACTTTCTCATTTTTATCACGTTTAAACTATTATTATTTCAAATCGAAATGTTCATCTATTTCAGCAAATAATAATGTTTAAAATAAACTGTTTTTAACGCAATCTCTTGCACTATAACACTAAGGAAGTCTTATGTTTGGTATAAAACATATGATAGCCATAGTTTAACAGATTTGTTTATAAAACGCTTAAACACTGGCGTATTTCCAAATTGTATATAGTGAGTGCCGGATTAGCCACGTAGCAATAGAAGCAGATGCTACAAGCCTAGCTATGGCCTAAAGTTTAGACTCTAAACCAATAAATTTATTTTTAAGTCAGTGTTAAAAATGCAAGAATTAAAATATCATGCTTTTGCCTAAACTCATATTTTTAAGTATAAACATAAAGCTTTTGCCTAAACTCATATTTTTAAGTATAAACATAAAATGACAAATAAATATCAAGTCACATCTAAGAGTGAAATATTAGTTGTGTTGTATAGTTGGTCGGGAAATAAAAGACTTATCTGTTTCATTTGCAAAATTACTGATTCCGCATATTCGTCATTATGTTCCGTAAATCGTAACGTAACGCTCAATAATTATGTCGTTAATCTTCAACCGTTTACTAAAACAAAAAAAAAAACTTCCAAGAATCTGTACTTCGAGACTGTTATATTGTAATTATTCGCGATATGGAGATGTAGCATTACAACGTGGTATCTACTTATTTAGGACTTTAGAATAATTGTGAATGTTACTATAATTTTCTTTTGTTGTTGTATTTAACAAATCTTTGAATAATCCTATTTGTAGTTCATTATTTTTGACGCAACATCCCTAATTCGCTCTAATTTTGTGAAAAATCCTAGGTTGGCTCATACAAAATTAATCGTTTATCACGGTAGAAACTAATTTAATGTTATTATTTTTCCAGGTCGAAGACAAGACTAACAAACGCATTAAAGATCTCATTTCGCCGGATGATTTAGATTCTTCATCGCGATTGGTTCTTGTTAACGCTATTTATTTTAAGGTACCTACTTTTATTTGAGTTGGCTACATGGCATGCAAAATTGTACATTTCTGTGTGCTCTTTGAGCTGTACCTTTTATCCTAATTTGTAGGGTACTTGGAAGAAGCAGTTTCAACCACAGAACACTATGGATCAACCTTTCTACGTGACACCGACAACGACTGTCGACGTGCCTATGATGTACAAAGAAGATAACTATAAATTCGGCAATAGCGTAGAATTGAAGTCACTGGTAAAATATCTTAATAAATATTTGTTAATTACTACGAGTATATATAGCCAGGGTCGCCCTGTCCATGCAGGCAAACTAAGCAACTGCCTAGGGCGCTCGTATTAGGAGGGCGGCATGGAATGGTAAACAAATTATATTTACTATAATCAATTTAACTTAGAAGAGTAGCTCGGTGGCGTAGTGGATAAGCGTCGCGGCCCGCGATCGTGTTTGTTAAGCAACTTTCGCAAGGGTCGGTCACGGGATGGGTGACCAAAAAATTATTATCTCGAGCTACTCCATGCTTCGGAAGGCACGTTAAGCCGTTGGTCCCGGCTGCATTTGCAGTCGTTAATACCCTCCAATCCGCATTGGGCCAGCGTGGAGGGTCATGGCCCATCCCCCTTAACCATCCATAAGGAAGACCTGAGCCCCTGCAGTGGGGACATAAAAGGGCTGGTGATGATGATGATGAATTTAACTTAAAAAAGAATTTAAAGAAAAACAAAAAACCCGACTGCGTAAAAACGAATTTTAAAAAAATACATGAAAAGTATAACTTGAATAAAAATTAAAAAGTAAGAAACAAGCCCAGTAGTTTAGAATTCTGTTCAATTCAATTGTGCAGTTATTAAGTAAACCTAAATAACTGCACAATTGAAATAGTTTTATAATCAATACACACATAAAACAAATCATAAATTCTAATGGAGAACAGAACGACTCAAAGTCGGGGCCCCTTGGGAAGATTTGATTGGTAAAATTTGAATGGGCCCCGACTGTGAGTCGTTCTGTTCTGCATTAGAATTATTGTTATTTAAACAACTTTAAATCGTTATATATCCTAAACTATTATTTAAAATGAAAAATGATAAAAGGAACCTAAAGATACCTATTCAACGACACCCCACATGACATAGTTCATCGTTTTTTTTTTCATTTTGACAATATGACGTCTGGTTGTCGTGAGAATCATCAAAATCGGCCTACGCATTTGGTCTCTAGAACGCCACATAGAAACATACATTCATACATACGGTCAGTTGCACAAACGTCCATTAAGGTTTAATGACGCCTTTAAGCACTAATGAATGTCAAATTTGTATGGGTAATGTCGCTTTAAACTAATGAAAAATTTAATGAACGTTTGTGCAACTGGTTGATAGACTGATAAACACATTACCCTTTGCGTCGCGCAGTCGGGTAAAAAAATACTCTTGTTTTTTGAACATGAGTTCTTGTCCGCAGTATTCCAAAAATTCAATTTTTTTTTCAGACCAGCAGCAGCACCTAAGGAGTTTCTTTTGTCATTGGCAAAATTACTCTCTAATTAGTGTACCTGCATTAATCTTTTTATTATTTCAGTGTCCTGTCTAGGGCGCCAAGTTTCTTTGAGCCGCACTGCCTATAGCCTAATATTAAACTTTTTTACAGCTGTTAGAAATGCCATATATAGACAACGAGGCTAGTATGTTGATTGTCTTGCCTGAAGAGCTCGATGGCCTCGACTCAGTGCTGCAGAAGCTGGCAGCCGGCCACGACCTCTTTGCAGATGTGGCGAATATGTTTGATACTAAGGTGCAAGTCACTATTCCGAAGTTTAAAATCGAGACCGAAATCGATTTAGGAGATCTATTGCCTAAGGTAATAATAATTACTCTTTACGATGTACATTGCATTAAAAATACAGAAGCAAGTGTAAGGTTTCTCTTGAAGATACTTACAGACGATAAGTATTCTGCGCGAGTCTCGATGACGAGTCGCCGAGGAGTATTTTTCATATATATATTCGCATACTTCGCTACTAGTAGGTACTAGTCTCGCGAAACTCGCCATGCCAGAATACGAATCTCAATAAAATGACAACAGAACAGTAGTTCAATCAATTATGAAATTTGAAAGTCTGAGTAATGTGCACTTCAAATGCAAATGCTGTTTTTCATGTTTTCAATAGCGTAATGTACGAATCTATTAGGGAACAAATATTTTGAAGATACGCAACTGAAGTACGAGGGTCAAACTGAAAGTTCTTAGAAAATCAAAAACTGATTACATTAGCCAGTTATTAGTTTTATTATATCTTTTCAAAATATTGTCCATTCACGTCAATACACCGCTGCATGCGATGGAACCACTGGGAAAAGCACTTTGCCCACTCGTCCTTAGGGGTCTCTTCAATGGCATCGCGATACGCAGCCACCGCTTCTTCAGCATTCATAAACCGCTTTCCTTTAAGTTTTTCTTTAATTTTTGGAAATAAATAAAAATCACAAGGCGCGAGGTCGGGGCTATACGGCGGGTGACCCAGTAATTCAACGTTTGATGTCGCCAAATAGTCGATCGTTCGCTTGGCGGTGTGCGACGAGGCGTTGTCGTGGTGAAGGAGGATCCTACTGCGAGGTCGTTTCTCTCGAACTTTTTCCAAGACAAGTGGCAAACAATTGGTAGTGTACCATTCTGCAGAAACTGTTTTTTGATCCTCTAACACAATTGTTGCAAAATGACCTATCCTTCCAAAGAACGAGGCCACCATTTTTTTTCCCGCACTTCGATCTCTCTTCACTTTAGTTGGCAACTCCTCGAAAGGAAACACCCACTGAGCAGATTGTCTTTTGGTTTTAGGATCATAACAGTAAATCCAGCTTTCGTCACCTGTTAGTATGTCGAACACAGCATTTGAGTCACCTCCGTTAAATCTTTCAATCATTTTACGACACCAATCCACACGATGGAGTTTTTGAGCCTCAGTCAAATTATGAGGTATCCACCGGGCGCAAAGCTTCCTGACCGCTAAATGTTCGTGGAGGATTTTGTGCACTTGACTCATACCGATGCCTAAGCTTGTCCGAATCTGTTGATAGGTCACTCTTTTGTCAGTCTCTATCATACGCCGCACAACACAGATGTTATCTTCAGTCGTCGCCGTAGAAGGCCGTCCCTCACGTAAATCATCAGTGAGATTAGTGCGACCACGTTTAAACTCATTAAACCAGTTGTAAACAGTCGCACGAGATGGGGCTTCATCGTGAAAGGCCAATCGTAGTCTATCATAACTTTCTTGTTGACTTAAATGACATCGAAAGTCATAAAAAATCATTGCACGAAAATTTTCTCGTGTTAAATTCATGATGACGTGACACAGACAATTTTCAATTTGCCGCCAAATCGTAAAACAAATGACAAATGAATGAAATATATACTCAGTAATATTGGCAAAGAGTTATATTTTCAAATTTTAGAATTATTTTTTTATTATATTGTTTATAAGTGGCCAGTTCTAAGAACTTTCAGTTTGACCCTCGTATCGTCCGAATATTAATTTAATAAGGAGCTAGGAACAAAATTATATGTAGATAAGATTTTAAAGTTCCAAGATCGAAGTCAAAGTAAAAAGTCAAAATAATCTTTATGCAAATAAACCTCTTAAAAGTACTTTTGAATCGTCCAACATTTTTTTCCCTACCGCTCGTTCAGGACGTCTTTTGGCTGATAAGAAGAACGAGCAAGAAACTCACCAGTTCTAATAGGAGTTCTCGGGCAATCTGTTTTTGCTACTGATTCTTGGCTGGTGTAAAATGATATTGGCATAGGATATTGCTAGAATAAGAAAATTGTGTGGTTCTACTAAAAGTTTTGGATATTTTTAACTGGATATTAAAGAATCAGCACTATACTTGCTTTGATTAGCGAAGCCTGACTGAATCATATTAATAGTAATACTTAAAATTTGAAATGCCCAAAATTTTAAACAAAACCATTTTTTAAATAATTTTAAATAGTTGATATTTTACATGTTATTTTACAGATTGGTATCAAAAAGATTTTCGATAAGACTAACTCAGGGTTGACAAAAATACTGAATGTCGACGAACCTCTATATGTATCCAAGGGCATTCAAAAAGCCTTTATTGAAGTCAATGAAGAGGGAGCCGAAGCCGCTGCAGCTACTGGTATGTATTTTTTTAATGCTTACGTACGACGGAAATATCACTATTACGACTTATGTATAAGGTTCAATTTCGAATAATACATACATAGTCGAAATGATACAATGATGAATGTGGAATTCTATAATTGGATCGATGCCAGAGTACTTATTTTTTAAATATATATTTGCATTTCGATGTGATGTTTCAGTTGCTACGCTACTTTCATAAAGGCCAAGTCTAAAGGACCCCGCCCTTGCCTTATGGAAATTGGCTTTCTGTCAAATCGGATGAAACTATGATGAATGGATAGAGGAAGTCTTCCTGAGTAAAAGTCCTCATGGGCACTAAGCCCGAAAAGCGAAACTTTTAGTACTTTTGGGCATTCGAAGTTTTTGATTTTGGATTCTAGCAAAATCAATAAATCCTTGTAGAATCGGCCCAAAGTTCAATTAGACATAAAAGAAAAAATACGTATCGAATATTTTTTCAAGACCTTTCGAACGACACCCTATTTGACCCCCCCCCCCACTCCCCCACCTACGGGGGTGGAAGGGGAGCGGTTTTTTGCGAAAAAGTTCTTTTATCTCTTCTCTTCCTCCGCCCCCGCGTGTGGTGGGTGGGTGAGGGGGGGGGGGTCGATCGGGCACGGCTCAAGTGTTCCGTCAATCATGAGGCCATTATAACATTATAAAAGAACTTTTTCGCAAAAAACCGCTCCCCTTCCACCCCCGTAGGTGGGGGAGTGGGGGGGGGTCAAATAGGGTGTCGTTCGAAAGGTCTTGAAAAAATATTCGATACGTATTTTTTCTTTTATGTCTAATTGAACTTTGGGCCGATTCTACAAGGATTTATTGATTTTGCTAGAATCCAAAATCAAAAACTTCGAATGCCCAAAAGTACTAAAAGTTTCGATTTTCGGGCTTAGTGCCCATGAGGACTTTTACTCAGGAAGACTTCCTCTATCCATTCATCATAGTTTCATCCGATTTGACAGAAAGCCAATTTCCATAAGGCAAGGGCGGGGTCCTTTTTAATGCTTACCAATATTTTCTGTACATGGGGCTTTTAAACTAATATCTTTCTTTTAAAATAATTTGTTTTAAGTCGTTTTTGAATATGTAAAGTTTATTTTTCTGGAATTTTGGTGTGCTAATTGTATTTATCGCTTGTCGTTTTGGTACGTAATCTGTATAATAATAGTGTTGTGGTTGTGCTTATTATCGCAGGATATTAACAAAAAAACACCTTTTTAAGTATCACGTTTTTTAACCTTTTTAGTAAATATCTCTTTATAGTGTAATCTCAAACTACTTGACAAAAAGGAATTTCTTAATTTGAACTCTCTTTTTATGATTTTTCCGCGATGACTTTGCCAATATGTAGGTTGATTTTTTATTTTATTTTTAATAAATTAATGCTATTAATTTATTTTAGTTATTTAGACAATCCTAATTGACCAAACAACTTGCGGAATATTCCTAAATTCATAGCAGCACAAGACTTTACTACAAAAGGACAAATATCTATTATTAATTTTGAAATTAATATTTTAAGGCTTGAAATCTAATAGAGTAACTTTTATAGGCATGAGACATACTGTCGACTGTAGGTACTATCTTCAGAATCAGGGTATTTTTTGATATTTGAATATTACATTATCTATTTGTTATTAAGTAAAGATATACCTGCTGACAAAGTTGTCAATTACTTACATAAATTATTTAGTCTGGTGATGGTATACAATTTGCATTCCTACATAGAAGAGCGTTTTGCTTTAAATGCCAATATTAAAATGGTCCTGGTTAACCTTATCTAACAGATAATTATATAGAATTGCTTTTTCGGGTTACATCCCTACACTTAAATTTGAGCATTCCATTTACGAGTATACGAAAGACTGTATTGTTACTCCATCTCTTAAGACGAGCTGACCCTCTCTATATACCACGCGCTTCCTCACTCGGATAGGCGCAATTTTTCTAAATATAATTTTAGAAAATATTTCAATTCTAGAATCTAGAATTGTTATTACAATATTAATTATCCATTTTCGTCTTCGTCCAAGTTTAACTCTTGCTGTATAACTTCCCAGTTCTCTACATTCAGGAGATTATAGGTAGATTCTCAACTTACTTGTAATCTTTTTCGAACCATAGTATATTATAAGTTGTGTATACCTGTGATAATTGGAAATATAATTATAAAACCATGAAATAAGCTATTCGATTTTTTTTTGTAATCCCTGTACTCAATCTACTTTGACACATTCACATATGTACTCAATCTCAATACTCAATACTTTGACATATGTGAATGTGTCAAAGTAGATTGAGTACAGGGATTACAAAACAAAAGTCAACGTGAGTGTGAAACATAACACACAATTTTTGATTGCAAGATACTCCATTTTTTTAGTGTTTCCCTATTCCCGATTTGTAACAGGTTTTGCAAAATGGTGAAGGCCGAAAATCTTTTAATTTAAGTTCTTGTAACTTGGAAGCAGCATGAAGATTGTGCGTTGTGGGGACCTACGATTAAGAGATTAATCCTCCCTCAATCTGTTTAATATCCTCGTGTCGTTTGGTAAAAAGCTGTGCTAAGCCAAGTTTGCACTAGATAAAGAGATTGTCACCATTTATGTAGGTATAAGTTTTTGTTAAGGGCAGATATTCCCAAATTGTTTTGGCAAGAGACCCCTTTTCCAAAATGTAACACATAATACTATTTCTAGTTTTATTTTTATTACTGATACAAAATATTTACCTACTAATAAGAGAATCGCATTAAAATTATGAATAAATGGGTTCGAAACTATTCAAATGGGTAGTAATTTAAAACGGCAACGTCGTAGGTAGACCTTATAGAAAAGTTTCAATGTGTGTCAGGGTATTATATAATTGTGGCTTGTCTTTTGTGTCAGCCGGTGTAGTCCGTATGCGTCGATCATTGCATCATACCCCACCGCCGGTTACGTTCGTTGCAAATCGACCAGCTTTATGGTGCATCAATGTGGCGAACCAGATTGTAGCTGTAGCCACATACAGATCGGCACCCAACCTACGCGACGAATTGTAGCACTAGAGGGGCCTTAATGACCAACTATTAGGTACTTGTTGTAGTACCCATTACGCTTTATTAGAGTTACTAAACTTGTTGACGCAGAATCTTGATTTATTTTTAAAAGTTATTTATTTATTTTTAAAAGTTCTTTACAAAAAAACATTGGTATATTTTTTTATAATATGTTTGTGCTATATACCTATATAAGTCCTCTTTGTTGTTTTTTCTATAAAAGTTTGAATGTTGGTGTACTTATAAAATTATTTGATTTTATTGGGGAAGCATGTAAATGTAAATATGGTATAGTTACTTTGCTTACGTAATTCACGGAAAAAAATAAATCTAAAGACGTAAATGAAATAAGATTAATATTTCAATAACATTATAGAATTTTAATTACGTAATTTTTATGCGGTCCTTCACCATCCAGCGATACCAATTCAATTATGAGTATCTATTGTCAGTTCTCGATTTCAAGCCTATTGCGAACGTCGCGAAGGTTTTGTGTTTAATGCAGGGACACGAACGTTTTTTGCACGACTTCAATCGATTCTGCGTCAACAAATGTGGTTACTTCCTTATGCTGAATCTTCTTTAACAACATAATTAATATAAATCTATAAACGCTGTCGGAAATGGGGCAAAGCCATACATACATTAATACTTGAATATTACCAATTGCTTTAGATAGATATTTATCGTTTTCCCAAGTTAAAGATTGAATAGAAGTGTATTCATGCAGGCATGGTTGTGATGATGCGGTGCGCGATGCCTTCGCCTACATTCTACGCTAATCGTCCGTTCCTGTTTTTGCTTCTTGACAATCAGCGTACCGTGCTCTTCATCGGCGTATTTAATGGGAAATGATGACTATAACAGTAAACACTAACTGCAATGAAATAATAAGTAACATATACACTCACATCTGTTTATAAAAAAAGCTCACTATTAATTATTATTGAAATTTACTCATATTACTTTAGTATTATTGGTGAAATTATATGTATCTTTGAAATGTGTTCTTCAACCAGGAGAAATATAATACGTGCACTGCAGTTTCTTCGTAAAAGTTTACTTATTTGTGAGATTTTAAGAAATATTATTTATAAGTACAAATGTTGATCTAATAAATGATTTGTTTTTATTGGTAAAGTATTTTTAAATCCGACTACCTGAAACTTACGGAAAAATTAAAAATGAAATGTTATACCAACCAGAAGCTTTATTGAATGTGTTTAACTGTACTTAAAATGAAGTTACGGACCATAACTTGGCTAATGTGTGTGCGTGTTTCCTAACATGTGGCCGTGGACCTCCGAAGGTTCGCGAGTATATTTATGGGTGTCGGCAATATAATCTGGGACTATTTAAAAAATAATAAATAAATGCTACCAAAAGTCTTGCCCTTGTTTTACCTAGCACGATGAATGTGCTCTAGAGGAATTAAAAGTCAATAGTGTCATCAACTCGTCACTAATTTAGTTGCTAAAAAGCTTCCTGGTGAAAACCAAGGTTCTTGGAGAAAAAGCCTTTACTCTAAAAATTGGATCATTTTAAAATTCAAATGAGTGGTTTTTTATTTTACTCCCTTGAAGTATATATATTAATTTATTTTACTTTTTTCATTCTTATCATCTAATAACTGATATCCAACATCTGTTTAGGTTAACTAGTAGAGAATGCCTGAGGCATTAAATCCGCCTTTTGTGAACTGTTCCTTTTTGCAATAAAGAATAAATAAATAAGTTGAGCTTGATTACCCGGGTCCATGGATTACAAAAGATTGGGAACCACTGCTATAAATAAGTTGATTTAAGTTATTTTTAGCGTAGATATAAAAGTCTTTCGTTAAATTCCAACTTCCTTTATACTCAAGTAAATTTTAAACAAGTGATCTGTTGTGAATTGTGTCCTGTTTGTAGTGATGTATGGGTTTGGGTTGTCTTGAAGCAGCAGTGGGGTAACGCTTTTTTAGGATCGACGTCGTTTAAGAGCTAGGTTTTTCATCATGGTTCACGATTGTTGGCTGTACAGATCTATTGTCTTGTTATCTTCGTAAACTGCGATGTATGATATCAACACAAGACCAACGAACGCTAGTCAACTTACAACTTGCTGGGGAAAGCATTGACCGGTTCTCTCGGATTCATTAACTAGCGAGACCTATCTTATTGTCCTTATATATCTTTCGTCTCGATCTTTTTGATAAATTTGAATTATGAGTTCCGAACCAAAATTTGTATATTCAAGATAAATGGAACTAAACAATAAAAAAAAATTGCTTACCTAAATGAATCGATAATAAAGATAACTGTCTTTATTTCTATAATACATTAACCTTTTAAAGTCGGGATAAAAGTAATTAAAAGTTTCATTAAAAGTCTATACCTAGGCATGTGTAGTTGTTATATTGCTTCCTAGACCTCTATTATATTATCGCAGACCACAAGCTCAATAATACTGCTTTATTTTATCTGAGGACTAGTTTGTCAAAATAGACTATAATTTTGTGTCATGATGATGTCTTGATATCAATGTTGGGTGTTGGTATTGGGCTACAGTATAGTGATTCTATAACATTATTACAGCTATGGGAATCGCGATGTGCATGGCCATGATAAACGAACCACCGGTGCCCGAATTTCGCGCTGATCACCCATTCTTGGCTGTGATATTTGTCAACAATGCCCCAGCGTTCCTTGCGGTGCATCGAGGCGCTTAAATACTTTGCTAATATATCACAAACAATTGCTCTCTCACAAGATTATTTTGTTTCAGCACTGAATTTATTAATGTGTATTGTGTTATAATTATAAGCACATTTTTAAGCAATCATGGTTTTTATTTCATGTGATTTTTGTACTTCTATGTTCCTATAAATTAGCAATTCTCCTATATATTAGGAATACTGATCTATCGTTGTTTTTCTATATACCGAATAAAACAAAATAAAGGACACAAATAATGTGTTCTTAGATAAATAATTCAAATTTTGTTTATTGGAACACAGTAAAACACGCGGTAAGGAATACTTAATAAACAATTGAGTGTTGGTTTTGATTGTATAATAAAACATACAAGTTCTTGACTTCGTGTCTTAAAGTATCTATCTACCTTTAGGTATATTTCGGAACTGGCTTCCTTAGAAATACTTATATTTTAAATATTTTTTTAAATATCATCTAGATGATCTCTTTCTAATTTTAAAAGGAGCTATAACTCGCATCTTAGATTCGCAGTTTAGATTCATGCTGAGCCAGGGTTTCTGTAGGATGTAACCTGGCCTAAAAGTTTCCTACGTCTCGCTGCAGGATCTTCTTAAGAATCTCATAATTTTAGCAGTTTTGCAGGTATGACCTTTTTTCAAGGAATTCTTATAATTTATGTACCTTTTGGCGAAAGTATATGCTGAGACGTGAACTTAACTTTTTTAACGTCGAGGATATGCTTCTGGCTCTGTTCCTGTTAACCGGCAAGCAACAGGGGGTGAGTAGGACTCTTCTCCGTGACCCACCCAGCCGCAGCTGAGTCACCAGGACACTCAAGTATTGGACCATTGGTCCCATCGCAGATGGAGAGTCTCGGGTCCGTCGAGAGCCTCTCCCAGACAGGTGACGCCCCGGCCACCTTCGCTAGCTTCGAAGACGTAAACCTAACCTGGGGCGGTAGTCTCGACACAGTTTGCGAACGCAATGTCACCGAATTCGGTCGCTAACTCATAGCGATCGTAATTTAACGAATATTGCAAGTCTCTACATTTAAAGTTATCGATTTTTGTCGGTGGCGTAGCGAGTTCAACTGTCAAATTAATGAATTTCGCTAGCTTCTTAGCGACCAAATTTGACAGCTCGATAAGTGACTTTTGCGATCGCTAATAATATTTTTTTCGATATTTTACGGTATTTCGAGGTATTTATATCGGAAATTTAGTCATAAAGATATTTAAAACGTGATGGCTGAAGCATATTTAGCATAAGATTTGACATTGCTTGAACATCGACACCTAATGGTGAGGCGACGGCAAATAGCCAGAAACAGGCGATGTCTCCAAAATCCTTTGGTTTTAGATGAGACGGAATTTCTTATGCTATATAGAATTAGCAGAAGATTGATCGAACGTTTTTATACCCAAGATTATTTTTTATTTCAATATACTTATGTAGGTAGATGTACAAATTAAAAACGACCATATAAGTTGTAAATTCACTTTTATTATTTTACTCATTGCCTGTGCATGAATCAATGAAGCTTCGGCCTGCTTCATTGCAGCCTCTGTCTGAAATTTTGATGCAGCTGCCAGCATCTATAATAAATAAACTATATAAATGTTGGACTCTCTTTACCCATATATAGGTATTAGTCTCATATTCAATCTTGTTGAATTCATAATGTGTTTGGGTATTTTTGTTTATCTATTATTAATTAATTCATTTCAAATACATAACAAAATCATATTTAATAAAGTTTGTGTAAACATACCTTCATTGATTCCGCATTTGACTCTCCAATGGCGAGAAATTGAGTTTAATCGTGTTGCAACACTTCGGCGAGAATTGAGATCTAAAAAACAGTATAAAAATATTTATCATTATAAATATTTATAATATTCATCGCAGTATGAACAATAAACATGGAGATTGTACTAACTTCTCTTCCTTCTTGACTGCACCTCATTTCGAGTATTGGGAGCCGTATTGCCAATGCATACTAAAATAAAAATTAGCATTACGTTAGTAATATATTCTAATAGAAGAGAAGTAAAAATCATATCAAAAAAGTGAATTCAAAAAAGTGCATACTTAGCAATATTTGGAGCACGCGGAGCCTGCTGCACGTGTGACTCCGCATCTGAATCTCCCACCATGACTCAACACAAATTATTTCAATAAATTATGTGAAGTTTTTCACGAAACAGCGTAACCGAAATAAACAATAATGTTTTGACATATCGATGACATCAAGGTGTTGCAAGGAAACAAATTTTAATTTCCAATAATAATCAAATTGATTTAACACATTTAATAATTAATTATACTTTTAAAATAAATAAAAAGCAATAATTTTCGAGTACGCATTTTTTTATTATTTTTATTTGCTAAATTGAACATGAAATCATGACAATAAACGTTGTTTTGATTTCCTTAGATTTAAAATACTTTTGTCAGAGGCAACATTTTCTCCTTTAGGAAACTGCACTATGAATACAGATTTTCGATATGTTAGCGTCTGAATAGTTTACGATTTTGCTCGCTAATTCGGTAATAGAGACTTGCATTTGAAGTAACGATCGTTACCGCAAACAATTATTTTCGTTAATATTTGACATTCGATAACTTGCGATCGTATCGCTATTAATGTCGAGACTGCAGCCCCTGATAAGAATTTACTATCGCAAACCTTGTACTTCGTACGTTCACTGTATACTACTCGATGCTTATTATAATTGCAACAGCGCAGCGCTATTTTCGCTTGATCTCCTGACGATGAGCGTATACTACATGTCCATTACAAGTTTCAGATTATAAAACTTATACAACGTGTCCCAAAATTCAACGATGAGCGGGCGCCAAGAGGTATACCTGCTTATGTGTACTTATGGAAAAATAAGAAAAAAATTATATCTTATTAATCTTTTTTATTATAAAATTAAATTCGAAAATCTTCGAAAATATACAGCTTTTATGATATTTTCAACTACCACCACCATAACTTCTCAATTATGTTCAATCTTTTTTTGGTATCGGATACCTAAGTAGCACTACTATTCGCTACAACTCTTAAAAACACCAAAATGCCCGCAGTTTTTACACAAAAAACAATGAAAATGTATTTTTTCCTTAAATTTTCACAGATTTTTACGTTCCGTAATCTTTGACTTACGGTCTTGTAAAAAAAAAGTATGGACACCACTGTGGCAAGTTGTTTTTAAAATTGACTGAACTCATCAAGATTCCAAAATGGTATAATAATCTAAGAAAACTAATCACAGTAAAAAAATATGCACACCATTTGTAAACCAAGAGTATTCCGGGCGTTGGATTGGGCGACTTGGTCCTATCTTATGGCCACCCCGATCACCCGACCTAAACCCCCTGGACTTTTTCTATTGGGGTTGTCTCAAAGACAAAATCTATGAAAAACTCATTACG